TAATAATAATGTATCAATACTGGTTCCTCAATTGCAAAAAATGTACAACACTAATGCAAGATGGTAATAGGGAAAACTGAGTGTGGCAGAGGGAGTATACAGGAACTCTCTGTACTTAACGTGCAATTTTTCTGTAAACCTAAAAATGTTCTAAAGAAATAGTCTATTTAAAAAAATAAATACATCATTTCCCTTTCCAGGGACTGGTTTAGAAATGATCTTGTGGATCTTATTCTGGCCAATGAAACATAAATGGAATTCTGCTATAAGGCTTCTGGGAAAAGTTTCCTCACTCTTTAAAAAAAAAGATGAAGATGATGACAGAAGGCACAGACAGTTTCCATTTCTTCCTTTGGAAACAGTCATGTCTGGATGGGAAGTTATCAGAAAGGCGAATATCTTGAGGGCAAAGATGACACACTAAGGACAACAAAATTCTGGAAGGACAGAATCTGAGATCTCAATGAGGTATCAGCAAATTAACCAGGTTAATCAGCCATGGAGCTGCTCTACTTCCAGTCTAATTGTATGAGGCATAAATGTTATTATGCTGCTTTTCATTTAGGTTTTTTGTTACTTGAAACCAAAGGCACCCTAAATAATATAGCACATATATTTCGGAATTCTTTTACCACATAGCCCAAATATCATTAAAAGTAATAATTTTTAAAAAGGCAGTAAGGGACAAGAAGGCAGAGACATTCCATTTTAAAAAAGAAATTATATTACCTAGATAGTTCTTGTGAGAAGTAATATTTTTCAATGTATACTTTATAATAACAATTTTGTTATATATGCCACTGAAAAATCATATTTTAGATATAGAAGGGTCTTTATATGTTTTCCCTTTTCAAATTGAGATAAAATTCACACACCACAAAATTTACACTTTTAAAAAGTACAATTCAGTGATTTTTAGTATATTCACAAGGTTGTGTAATCATCACCATTACCTAATTCTAAAATATGTTTACAACCCCAAAGAGAAACCCCTATAACCAGTAGAAGTTACTCCCCTAAACTGCTTAGCCCCACCTCTGGAAAACCCTAATATACTCTGTCTCTATGGTTTCCTACTCTGGACATTTCATATAAATGGAGTCAAACATTATGTGGACTTTTATGTTTGGTGTTTTTCACTTAGCATAATTTTTTCAAGTTTCATCCATGTTATAGCATGTATCAGTAATCCATGCATTTTTATGGCTGAATAATATTCCATTGTATGGATATACCACATTTTGTTTACTTATTCATCAGTTGATAGACATTGAGTTGCTTCTACGTTTTGGCTATTAATAATGTCAATATGAATATTCATGTACAAGTTTCTTATGAACATATTTTCAATTCTCTTGGGTATATACCCTAAGACTAAAATTGCTGGGTCATATGATAACTCTATGTTTAGTTTCTTAAAGGACTGTCAAACTGTTTTCTAAGTGGTTGTACCATTTTATAGTCTGAACAGCAATGTACAATGGTTCCAACTTCTCCATATTCTTGCCAACACTTAATGTGCATCTTTTTTATTTAAACTTCCTAGTGGGTACGAAATGGTATCTCACTGTGTTTTTCATTTGCATTTCCCTAATAACTAATAATACTGAGCATCTTTTCACATGTACTCATTGGACATTTGTAGATCTCTGAAGAAATGTCTACATAAAGCCTTTGTCCATTTTTTAATTCGACTGTCTTTTTGTTTCTGAGTTGTAGGAATTATTTATATATTCTGGATAATACACCCTTACAAGATATATAATTTATAAAAATTTCCTCCCATTCTATGGGTTATCTTCTCAATTTCTTGATAGTGTTCTTGAAGCATAATTTCTTGATAATACTCTTTGACTTAATTTTCATGACAACCAATTTATTTTTTCTTTTCTTGTTTATGTTTCAGGTGTCACATCTAAGCAACCACTGCCTAATCCAAGGGCACAAAGATTTATACCTATGTTATCTCCTAAGAGATTAATAATTTTAGCTCCTACATTTAGGTCTTTGATCCATTTGAGTTTATTTTGTATATGATATTAGGTAGGAGTCCAATTTCATTTTTTTTTTTTCCTTTTTGTCTTTTTTCATGTCCGGCAACGGATGGCAACCCTCAGTGTCGCGCCCATACCGGACCGGGACCGGCAACGGGATCGCAACCCTCGGTGCTGCACCCGCACCTCGCTCAGCCAGTGAGCGGGAACCGGTCTGTATGTGGGATCCAAACCCTCGGCAGGAGCGCCGCCGCGCTCCCAAGCGGCGCACTGTAGCAGTGCGCCACCGGGCCGGCCCCCAATTTCATTTTTTTACATGTGATTATCCAGCTGTACCAGCACTATTTTTTTTAAAAAATTCTTTCCCCAATGAATTGTCTTGACACTCTTGTCAAATGTCAATTAACATAAATGTACAGATTTATTTCTGGACTCTCAATTCTATTCTCTTGATCTATATGTCCATATGTATGCCAGTATCAGAGTCTTTGGTCCTCTTTAATTTCTTTCAACATCGTCTTATAGTTTTCAGTGTACAAATCTTGCATTTCTTTTATTAAATGTTAAAATAGAATGTTTATTCTTTTGATGTTATTGTTAGTGGGACTGTTTTCTTAATTTCATTTTCAGATTGTTCATTGCTATTGTACAGAAATACTGATTTCTGTATATTGATTATATTTCCTACAATCTTACTGAACTCATTAAATAACTCTATTAGCTTGTTTGAGGACGCCTTAACATTTTCCATATATAAGATCATGTCATCTGAAAATACAAATAGTTTTACTTCTTTATTCCAAATCACAATGCATTTTTTATTTCTTCTTCTAGCCTTCTTCTCTGGCTAGAACTTCTAGTACAATGTTGAATAGAAGCAGCAGGAGACATCCTAGTCTCGTTCCCAATCTCAGAGAGAAAACTCAATTTTTCACCATTAAGTATAATGTTAACTGTGGATTTTTCATAGATGCCCATTATCAGGGTGAGGAAGTTCTCTTTTAAGTTTGTTGAGTGTTTTTATCAAAAAAGTATGTCAGATTTTGTCAAATATTTTTCTGCATCTATCAACTGTCCTTTAGTCTATCAATAAAGAATTACACTGATTGATTTTCACATGTTGAATCAACCTTGTATATCTGGAATGAATCCCACTTGGTCATTGTGTATAATGCTATTTAAATGTTGCTAGATTCCATTTGTAAGTATTTTGTTGACAATTTTTGCATCTGTTTCATATGAGATATTGATCTGTAGTTTTCTTGTGATGTCTTTCTCTGGTTTTAGTAACAGGGAAATAATAGCCTCACTGAATTAGTCAGGAAGAGTCCCTCCTTAAGTAAAGGACTGGTGTTAGTCCTTCTTTAAACATTTGTAGAATTCACCAGTGAAGCCATCTAGTCCTGGGCTTTTCTTTGTGGTAAATTTTTTATTACTAATTCAATCTTTGTACTAGGTATAGATTTATTCAGATTTTCCATTTCTTCTTGAGTCACTTTCAGCTGTTTGCTACTAAGAATTTTCCATGCAAACAGTAACCAAAAGACAGTTGGAGTGGTTGTATTAACATCAGACAAAATAGACTTTAAGACAATAATTGTTACTATATACAAAGCACATTTTAAAATGATAGGGACCTTGGAAAAGTCTCCAATTCTGATATTTTTATATTCTGAACCTCATATTTTACAAACTGTGAAGGTATATGACTTATTCATGGTAGAAGTTAGTGGGAAGCAAAACACTGAACTCAAGAGTCCTTACTGAAATGATAATCTATTTTAATAAATACTCACACACACACAAAACTTCTAGTAGCATATTCCAGTCATGTATGAAGGAAAGACTGTTTCAAATTTAATTCCATTTTTAAAACCTCTAATAAACATGACTTAGTAATTCCAGACAGTTTGTCTACTGTCAGAAAATATTTAATCCAATCTAAGATTTCAAGAAAATTAATTGAATTAAATAAGATAGACATGTATGTTAAATAATCTTACTATAAGATAGGTTAAGGAATTCAAAGGTAATTAACTTCTGCATATATGAGAATATTTTAGTGTCTATAAATTATAAGATCAATGTATCTTCCATCTCTCTTAAAGGAAAATTTTAGGCCACTAATACCTAAACCTAGAAAGAGATATTATAAACAATTTGGTTCCTCATGATCACACCATAAGTCCTTAGTAAAATAACAGTCTCAAAAAACTGAATACCTACATGAAGAACCTTTGTGCTAACTATACGGCCCACCTCCACTAAATCTTCAAACTAAAATCAACCTGGTCATGAAATAGCTCCCACCAATACTTTGCCTCCCGGCTTGACTGCACAACCAATATATTAAAAAAATAGGTTATTTTAACTGGGAGGAAAGTTGTGGAATGAAAAAATGGGGGTGAAAGCTTTTAGAAGTAGAGAAAACAAAAATCCTCTCTTTAAGAGACCAGTACACAAGACATACCAATGTTTGATTTGGAAACTTCGTTGCAGACAACAGCCTCTTTTCTAATTTTATGTTACTTCCAAGCATTCTGTGCTTCTTTTTCCACTATATTCCATAATCTTTGCTGAAAGTACAAAACATTCCAGGATCCTCTATTACCCCTAGGTTCAACCCCCTTCAGCTTAGTACCCGTCATTCCTCAGCCCATCCAGGAAACCACTTCCTTTCATTTCCAATGTTTCCTTCAAACACTCTCCTTCGAGTCATATCTAAAACCTGGCTTTCCTCTGTTTTCAGGGAGCTTACATGCTAGCATGGGAATCATCAGGGAAACTAACAAATGATGAAAATGATCTCTTGGACATGTTTTTCTAACTGTAAGCACAAGTTGCTATGGAAAGCTAAAAAGGTCAGCAGCATAACAAATATAATTTATAGCCCAGTCCTGAAATAATGATGGACTCAACTAAGAAATAGGGGAGAGTTTGACTTAAGATACACTCTGGACTATGTCAAAAGATTTTTTTTTTAAAAGTTAAAATTCAATTACTTACATAGGAATAGGAACTTGACATGGAGGACAAGGTAATGTAGTCTGAATAAATGTCGGCTCAGAAGGCTGTTCCCAAGGGCCTGTAGGCTGGTGCTACAAGTAAAATACACAACAACTGAAAGTCAGAGAAATTAAATCATATGGCCATTTTAGGAATCTAAGAAAGTAGTTCCATGTATCCTCCACTCAAGCAGGTTAAAATTTTTTCAAGTAACCAACAAATTGTGCTGACTGAAATATTTTATTCTATCTGCATTACAGCAAATTTTCCCCTCTACCCACACTTCATATTAAAAATTGAGACAAGCTCCAGTGTTTTAATTGTAGAACAAAGCAGTGTAGCCTCCTTCACCTCTCATAAACCAAAAAGAAAATGAGAAACAGAACTGTAAAACTGCAATATCCACAGCTGAATGTAATCTCCATTATTTTGTTCACTGTTGTTCTCCAGCACCTAGAATGCTTAACATATATACTATGGGCTCAGTAAATATTCACTGAACAAGTGCGTGAATTTTTTTTTTTGGCAGTTGGCCAGTGCAAGGATTCAAACCCATGACCTTAGTGTTATTAACACCCCTCTCTAACTAACTGAGCTACTGGCCAGCCCTATAAATGAATATTTAAGGAAACCAGGCAATATCCATAACCCTAAACCACAATATATAAAGGAGTATTGCAAAATTCACCTATATCATGATTATAACATGACTATCACACTATTTTTGCAAACATTTATTGGTTTTTCTCCTTTTCTGTACCGTAAGCTTCTTAAGACAAAAGACCAAGTCTTGTTTACCTTGTACCCCAGCTCTGACCACAGTGCTTCATACCCAATAAGTGCTTAATCATTGCTTATTAAATGGCTAAATAAAATCCAGAAAATATGACCCATAGCAATGCACTATCTCTTTAATAATATTGTTCCCTTACCCTGCCAGTCTGTTTTATTAATGCTTGATCATGACATGGAGCAGGACACAAGTGACCACATTTCTCCAAAACTTTCTGGCAAGGTTGATGACATGGTGGACAACAGCCAAAGTGACAGCGATGTTTTTCTTGACTTGCATGATGACAAGTTGGTGGTCGACTAAATCATAAGGTACAATTTTTTAAAATTACTTTCAATCATGGAACAATTTACATCTAAAGTATAATTATTTATGTATATGTCATCTGATTCCATAATGAACATACTGTGAATATTAATATTTTAAAACACTAAAGCAAAATTAAATTAAAATACTAATGATATTAAAAGTCAATATGAATTTGTATTTGTAAGAAAGTTTGTGCAAAGCTTTGGACTGACCTGCATAGTTCTTTGCACTTGGGTGGTCTTGTGGTACGTTCTCGACCACAGGGTACTGTCACCTTTGTATTACCACAATTACACTTCACATCTACAGTTTCTGGGCAGGGATAGCAACTGCCTGAAAAAAAAAAGTCTGACACTTAAAAAGAAGTTTCCTTTAATCATCCAAATGCCCAACAATGGTAAAATTAATAAATTTAGTGTATTTGCTCAATGCAATACTCTACAATGAGAATGAAGAAACTACAACAATATGAATGAATCTTACCACATACATGGCGCAAAAGAAGCCAGACACAAAGAGCATATACTATGTGATTCTGTTTACGTAAAGTAAACAGAAAAGGCTTATTTACACTCTTCAAAATCAGGATGATGGTTATGAAGAACACAAGGAGGGTTTTGGAAATGCTAGTAATATTCTGTTTAACAATATAAGTTCTAGTTACATGGTTATATTCAGTTTGTAAAGATTCATCAAGCTGTACACTTATGATCTGTAAACTTCTCCATATGAACACTGGTACTTCAATAAAGCTTTAGAAATTTCTTTAAAATTCCTAAAAGTTCTGTTCTAAATAACAAATTTAAAACAGTTACTCATTCAAAAGTACAACAAGCAGAAATAGATTTAAGTCTTTGGAAAATCTAATATATTTAACAATAATCTTTTTGGCCTATTTGTGTACTTATTTCTATCCAAGTACACTATTTTTAGATAAGTTCCCCAATACCTTCTCTCTCATGGCCTGATGTTAGTTATTAACAACTGCAGTCAATTTTCCATTATTTGTGCTTTGTGAAAGTCTAAAGGCTAAACCTCCATTTTAGGTTACAATTTCAAATATGTCTCTTCTAAACATATGAAAAAGAAAAGTTATTTGGGTGTCAGCTTTTTATCCTCTTTTGTTACCAGTTGGTAGAAACATACAAAAACAAAATAAAAAAATTTTCCTAAACAGGCTAAAAAGTTCACCCCACAAACCTCTATCATCATCTTAAGGGCTTTCTTCCCACTCTAGTCTTCCCAGTAAGGAACTCCATGGAAATGAAATACTGAGGAGGGAATTAAGAGTTTTCAACTAAGGAGTGAATATCTTAAAGAGACTGCTGCCTAGGTGTACGGACCAAGTAAAATACTGACCAGCAGTTAAGCTGATAAGAAACAGACTAATGATAGAAAATAGTCTGGTTAAATGTCTCTAGAAGTTCAAAATAGTTCCCTAACACAAATACAAATTAAGAATTACAATACAAATAATGAACATAGAAAAAGAGAAAATGAGAGTAAAAGCATCATACAGAAAAACATAACATTTATTGTACAAATTACCAAATTTACACTTGTTTTGATAAGTGAAGTGTTATCCTGCTGATAATGCAAGCCAAATTATCCTGACCCACATGACCAAGTTTTATTTTGATCTTTCCAAAAGAACGACTAGATGTTACATTTTTAAAGTTATTAGTGACACTTAATATCTGTTCTCATTCAGCATATTATGTCAATTTCTATTCTTAATAATGATAATTTTTCATTCATCTTCAGCATTTTAATGGGGAACTTATCAAACAATCTTTTCGGCACTCTAAACCACAGTATGACTTTTTTGAAAATTAAATCTTGGGAACAATAAGGAGTAATTTCTCTAAACAGTCTTACTACTGAGCAACAGAACTTGTCATAGATACCAGTGTAACATGATAGATTTTAATTAAAACAGCTTCAGTGACATTACTTTCAAAATGAAAAATTAGCATACAGAGACTATAACTATAATGACCAGAGAGTCAACAGACAAAATGGGCATGATTCCAGTAATTCCAAACCATAAACACAGATGACCTTGAACTTCGAATTATAAATCAAATTTTCATATATTCACAATGCAAACATGCAGTTAGTATTCTCTCCCTATGAGTTACAGTATAATTTTGATTAGAAAGACATCTAGAATGATGGAAAATAGTATGAAATAATGATTCCATATATTTTACATAACTGTGGATTAAATAGTCAGAGTTGCACACTAGTATTTTCCATATACTTTCCATTGGGGAAAATTTTGTAGGGTTTAATAATCTTTGTTGGAAGCTAATAAGCATCTTTTTTTAAAAATAAATACTATCAAAAAATATCAAACCTGAATCTGATCTCATCTCTAGATCCAACTAACAATTCATAGGAAATGCAAAGGGCTGAGGGACATGTTAAATAATACCACAGAGATGCAACCTGCAAAATCCACATTCAAAGAAACTAAATAAAGCAACCTAGCTTCTTAAACCAGTAAGTCACAAGAAAAAAAAGAAAAAAGGTGGAGGAGGGAAATTATAAATTTAAAGACTTTAGAGACATCAATCAATTGCACCATATCAATCTTACTAGGTTTTTGAGTCAAAAACTGAAGTAAAAAGTGAAAATACTTATGAAACAACAAGAAATCTGAACACCAGATATTTACTGATACAAAAAAATATATTAATTCTTTTTAGGTTTAGAAGCCATCTTTTAGAAATGAATACTGAAATACTTATGGTATTTGCTCCAAAATAACATGAGGAGGGAAATGCTTTTAACACTTCTCCACTAAATATGATGTTTGCGTTAGGCTTTTTGCAGATACTCTTTGCCAGGTTAAGGATATTCCCTTCTATTTCTATGGACGTTGGATTTACCAACTATTTTAGACATTTACCAAATGATCTCATTTCTCCCTTAATCTGTTAATGTGATGAATCACACTACTAGGTTTGCTAATGTTAAACCAGCCATACATTATTGGAATAAACCCAATTTAGTTATGATAGATTAAAGGTTTGGCTAGTTAATACTACAGTATTAGATGGCTCAATCTGAGTAGTTAAAACTCTAATATTTTTACAAAAATGTTCAGGAGTTAGACTTGCCTGTAATTTTCTCTTTCCTTGTCAGATGATATGAGTTGAGAGTTGGGCATGTTCTTTTTTTTTTTTTACATATACTCTCAGATAGTTTATGAGGAGATTGAATATATATATAAAGATGTTCCTCAACTTACGATGGGGTTATATCCTAATAAATCCATCGTAAGTTGAAAATGTTATAAGTCAAAAGTGCATCTAATACACATAACATAGTGAACATCATAGCTTAGCCTACCCTACCTTAAACATGCTCCAAACACTTACATTAGCCTACAGTTGCGCAAATTCATCTAACACAAGCCTATTTTTTAATAAAATGTGAATGTCTCATGTAATTTACTGAGTGCTATACTGAAAGTGAAGAACAGAATCGTTGCGTGGGTACTTAAAGTACAGTCTCTACCCAATGCATATCGCTTTCATTCCATTGTAAAGTTGAAAAATCCTAAGTCAAACCATTCTAAGTCAGGGAACATCTATACCATAAATGTTTACTTGTTAGAAATCAATTGTAAAAAAAAAAAAAAAAAAAAAAAAACAGGTCTGGTGTTTCCTAGCAAGAAAATTTTAAACTACAGATATAATTTCTTTAACGGTCAACAACTAGTATGGTTTCCTACATAAAGGCCAGTGTTTTAACAATAGGCTACAAGGCCCTATATATATTCTCCTTTCCCCAGCAATCCTTTATCTCACCATCTCTTTGACTTCATGTCCTACCATCTGTTCTCTTGAGCATTCTACTTCAGTCACACTGGCTTTGCTGTTCCTTCAAATGCTCGTCTCGGGCCTTTGCAATCACTGCTTTCGTTTCTGGAACAATATCCCACCCCCATTTCCACATAGCTTGATTCCTTACTTCGTTCAGGTCTCCTCTCAAATGTCATCTTCTCCGAGTCCTCGCCTGGTCACAGTATATGAAACAGTATACACTATCTCCACCACCATAACTTTAGTTTTACCCTAATTTTAATACTTGACATTACCTGAGATCCTATATTAATCTGATTATGTATTCGTATTCTACTGGGGCAGGGAAGTAAAAAAAATAAGTTCCATAGAGCAGGGACTTTATCAATTTTTGTTGACTCATATAATCCCAGAACCTGGTTCTTAGTAGACACTTCAGAATACTTTTTGAATGAGTTAATGACTAACATTAGAGTTTTACTAAAATTTAAATTCAGTGGGTCAGTGACATAAAAGGAAATAAAATCCTTATAGTGATGGTGAGAACATACCTGCAAATTAGTTCTAAACTTCACAATTTAAAGACACTGACAAGTTAGAGAACATCCACAGGAAAATGCAGCCATGGTAAATAGGATCTGACATTTTTCTTAATGAGGAGACAATGTGATATCATGAAAATATCAAAACCTTTGCATTTACATCCTGACCCTGCAATTAGTTCTACGACCTTGGGACTTTCTTTGCCTTTTTCCTCATTATATAAAATAGTAGTAGGTCCCTATTCCTTGCAGGATTTCTGAAAGGATTAAGAGATCAACGAGCATCCTCGAATCCCAAAGGAAGATAATGAAAACAGTTCAACAGTGTATCTCAGATATTAAGCTACTAAGTAGCAGAGTTCGCACTTGAACCCAGGACCTCTTACTCTCAGTCCCTGCTTTCCAATACTCTACTCTCAGTAGATTTCATATCATATCAACAGACTCCAAATAGGTAAAGTTAACTCATTTTTTAATGTCTAGTAATAACATAGAAAACAATTCTCAAATTATGGTCTGGTGACCTTAGGGGTCCCTGAGACCCTTTCATGGGGTCTGCAAAATCTTACATGCTTAAGAGTAGTTTTTCAGAAGCTAGTGACAAGTGATATCATAACAGATTGAAAGCAGAAGCAGATATGTGAATGCAGCTATATTCTACTAAGTTAGACATTAAAGACATTTCCAAGAATGTAAAACAATGCCACTCTCACCATTTGTTTTCAGAAAATATGGTTATTTTCCACAAAAACATGTTATTTGCATTAAGAAGTAATGGGTTTATTACTGCTATGTTTACATAAAATAATAAATATTATCACATTTTACTTTCATTTCAAACATAATAAATGTCAATGGATAAAACCCACATTAACAAAAGCTCTTTGGAGTCCCAAATACTGTAAAGGGGTTCTGAAACCAAAATGTTTAAGAATCACTGGCTTAGAATATGTCCAATCTTATTAGATTTAAATCTATATATAAAATTCAGAATAAAACTGAAAAACTTATGAACATCTCAATTAATTAAAAAACTGTGTGGGAAAGGTTGGAAGGAAGTGAAGAAACAACACAGTATTATAGAAATGACAATACTTTTATATTCAGAAATCTTGGGTTCAAATGCACTAAACATTTCCCTGAGTAAGTCACCGAACCCTCTTTAGCTTCAATCTCCTTGTCCATAAAATAGGGATACTGGTGACTGCCCTACCTTCTTCTCAAAGTTGTTAGGGGGGCCAAGTAAGATAATGAATTTGACAGCTCTCTATCGTATAAAGTACTATGTAAATACAAACATAACATCACAGCTATTGTTAAATTTTACCTCTGTGGCAGACAGACGGACATTTATGGTTTCTACATCCTAAAGTCCGTCCACAGTTTTGATCACAAGGTGGACAGTTTCCAGGGCAACACTGAAGAGAAAGCAATATATGAAGAACAGGTCATTTGAAAACCCATGCATAATATGGATGTTATCACCAGTTAATCACAGAACTTGTGGAAAGCAAAAGATATTTCTTTCACTATAAAAATGAAAGTATTCAAGACTATCAACATTCTTCTGTAAATAAATACACTGTAGTAAGAACTCACAGAAATAGACAATGGCCTAATTTAATAAAATCAAGCTAAATTTTTTTTCCCTTCAATTATTCTATAACTTAAAACATTTCTATGAGATAATTTTATTACTTACCTATGCATAGATTGACAACCAAAGGGATGCATCTGATCTAATGCTATAGTCAATTCAGGCAAATAATCTGGTTTTTAAAATTTAATTAAAATAAAATCAGTTCAATATAAAAATTAGTTTGGCAGTTATTTTCAAACCATGGGATCACAGACTAACTAAAGGAGAGAAGCAGAGATAGGCTACTTGCATCTAGCCTTATTTTGTCACTTACCTCACTCCAGCTGGTCTGTAAGAAATATAACTGTCTCTGATCCATCCTAATTTTTCATTCATGAACACCAGGCAACTACTTAAAGTCTATATTGCCATCCTCATTCTTTCCTTAACTTCTCATGTACCGAAACATTGGAAAGGAAATACAGACTACAATTGTCTTAAAGAAACTTAGGCTTGTAACTTACATAAGAGCAAGTTTCAGTATATAAAAATAGATCAAAACAAAATGCATTACTGAAAAGCAATTAAAAGTCAAAACAGTTCATTCAATTAGACAAATATTTACTGAGTAAATGTGTCTATCACTATGTGTCTATTACTTTGCCAATGGCAGTGGAGGAAAAGATTATGTGGTCCATGACTTGAATAAGCCTATAGACACTTTTGTTTCTGACCATGATGAAGTAACAACAACCAGATTTACCCTCTTGTAAACAACTAGAAAACCAGACAAAAGATAGGAAGCTGTACATTGGAGATATTAGATAATTAGGCAACACAGGCGGACACCAATCCATAAGAGAAAAGAAATAAAGATGGTGGCATCAGTTTAGACCTAGAGGTTTCCATGCTGCAGCACAAGGAGGATCACAAGAGTGTCTGACAGTCTGACCAAGTTCAGTAGACAAAATTCAGAGTTCACAGAGGCCAGTGTAGTTAGAATTCACGGAGAGAAGGCAGTAAGTAGTACAAGAGAAAGCTCTGGAGAACTCCAGAAGGGACACCTTGAGTCTTTGACTGAGGACTGGTCTGCAACATGTGAGAGGAAGCTACCCAAAATCTAAGAACGAACCACTGGAAGGAGAAGGCAGAAAATTTCCAGAGATTATACAAGGCTGTGAACAGCTTGTGTTCCTTACAGCCAGAATGAAAAGCCCTCTTCACACATAGGCATTAAGGAGAGTACTTAGGAGAGTTATTGCCTCAGTAGTAGAGCCAAATTACCTAGACAAAAAGATGCTCAGGTCACACTTAACAAAATCAAGCCTCTAAAGGACCAAATGGTTTCTGAACAACTTAACTTTGTCTCAGAACAAAGCTTAAGAATATTTAAAAGAATATTTAAAAACCCAGCACCCAAAAATGTGAAGCTCACAATTTCTAGAAACCAATCAAAAATTATTTAGCAGGCCAAGAAGCAGGAAAATATAACCAAAAGGAGAACGATCAGTCAACAGAAATAGACCCAGATATGAGAGATGATAGAATCAGTAGATTCGAACATTATAAATATAGCCCACCCTATATTCAATAATATAGAGGAAAGCATGGGCACACTAAGGAGAAACTTGGAAGATACAAAAAAGACCCAAATCCAACCTCTAGAGATGAAAATATGTAATGTCAGAGATGAAAAAACAGAGGATGGGATAAAAAGTAAATTAAACAATGCAGAAGGAAGTTAGTGAACTTGAAGACAAACTATATAATCTATCTAAAATAAAACACAGTAATTAAAAAGACTAAAAATTAAATAGAGGATAAGTGAGCTGTGGGACTTCAAATAGCATATTATATATGGCATCAAAGTCTCAGAAGGTGAGGAGTAGGGAAAACAGAAAACAATACCTGAAGAAATAAAGATCAAAAATTTCACATATTTGATGAAAATTATAAGCTCAACAAAAGCCAAGCTAAAGAAACATGAAGAACACTATACGTAGGAACACCAAAAACAAACTGCTAAAAACCAGTGGTAAAGAGAAAAACCTTAATAACTAGCCAAAAAAAAAGGAAATACATTAAGCACAGAGGAACAAAGATAATAATAACAGGACATTCCTTGTTGGAAAAAATGCAAAATGCAAGCTAAAAGGTAGTGCAGCAACATCTTTAAAGTATGGTGAAAAAACTGGTAAACTAGAATTCTACAGTAAAAATATTTTTCACAAATGAAGGCTATAGAAAGGTATTTTCAGATATACAAAGTTTAAAGAATTCATGACAAGCATAACAAGAAATATTAAAGGAAATCTTCAGCAAGAAAATGAAACCAGACAGAAATCTGAATCTATAAAAAAAGTTAGGAAAGTGCCAAAAATAAGTATGATGATAAATATCAAAGATTATTTTTCTTGATTTTTCAATCTCTTTAAAAAATAACTGCTTAAAGCAAAAATAAAACCAATGTATTCAGAGTTTATAAAATACATGAGTATAATATGTATAAAAATCATACATCTTAGGTCAGGAAAAGGGAATAAAATATACTGTTGTTAGATTCTTAAGGAAAATAAAGCCTAAAGCAACCACCTGCCTGCCCCCAGAAAAGGAGAAAAGGGAGATAAAGCTAATAAGCAAATAAAGAAATAAAATTGAATCATTAAAAAACACTCAAAGAGAGGACAGAAAAAGAGAGAAAAGGAACAGATGGGCAAATAGAAAACAAATGGCAATAAGGCAGATTTAAATCCAATCATTTTAAAGATCACATTAAATGTAAATGGTCTGTACCCAAATTAGATGACAAAGACTGTCAATTTGAATAAAATAAAATCTAAATGCTGTCTATATGAAACTGCACTTTAAATATAAAAGAATAGAAAAAGATACTTAGATACTGTGTTAACATTAAGCAAAAGAAAGCTAAAATCACTATATTTTAATAGATTTGAGAACAAGGAATCTTACCAGACATCAAGGGATATTTTGTAATAGTAAAAGGAACTCAAAAGAACTACAAATCTACAGAATCAATAAAATATTCCAGTCAACTTTACACTGAGCCAAGCGTCATGAAATAAGATTTGAACAATATAACACTGATAATGAGGTTTTAAAGTGAGGGATCAGATATAGCCCATGAACCAAGCTGAGAGAATAACGCACAGGACAAGAAGAAGTTTGTGTCACTTTAAAAAAGTGGTATGATTTCCCACCAATATAAACAATTAGGGTTAACTTAGAATATTTACTAATATTTTATATGGAAAGCAAAGAATATGCGAGAACACTTGAGGAACAAGCCAAGATAAGGCTTATCATAGGCCCAAAAAGGAAAAATACAAGACAATCAAATCAGAGTTTCCCATGATTATTACACGTACCTTTCTCCTACACTGATGCTTCTGGCAGTCACGCATTTTAACACACTTAGTTTCACACAGATAAAGTTTATGACATGGCATTCGTTTTGTATGTTTTCCACAGCGACAATGCTTTTCCACTTCCTGGAGGAATCCAAGATGAATAAGACACAATAAGAAATGCTACTGACTTTTGTTAATGTGGCTTTTTTCCACATTGTAATTTCTATAGTTACTAAAACATGAGGACAAAATTTTAATGGCAAATTTGTATTAAAGACTTTACCAGAAACCAAAACTGAATTTCCTAATATATTTATTTATATCCTACTTCACCCAAAAAGGACTTCATGGGACTTTGTTATTAAATTTGATAGAAATTTCACATTAAATAGTTTAAAAAAAAAAAAAAAAAACCCACAACATATTAAAACCACCTACATCTTGTTACAATCATAACTTCTGCATATCTTGTCTCAGTAAAGCAAGAACACTGGATTATCGAGTAGCTAATCTGAAGGACTGGTAGGATGGTCAAAACCAAATTACATACATAACTTTAAAGTTTCAAGTCTAGGTATTCATTTCTTTCCATCATCACTAGGCCTAATTCATCACTGCTCTGAATGTCATCTGGGAACAAACAACCCCACACTAGACTTTAAAAATGGGAACATTTGGGCCGGCCCGGTGGCGCACTTGGTAGAGTGCGGCGCTTGGGAGCGCAGCGGCGCTCCTGCCGAGGGTTCGGATCCCATATAGAGACCAGTCCGCTCACTGGCTGAGCACGGTGCGGGCGTGACACCGAGGGTTGCGATCCTGTTACTGGTCACGAAAAAAGACAAAAAAGGAAAAAAAAAAAATGGGAACATTCAAACTCCTACCAAGCAAAAACAAATAAAAGATAATTTTTATTTTTGCTGGCATACTGTCTTGCTTCTGACCATAAATACTAAGTCACTGAACTCATACAGATCATAATGTATGGGAGCAAGGAATGGAAAACATTCACAGGACAATCTCGTTTGATAAACTACAGCTCTCAAAAGTAATTATTGCAGGAGACAACTAACTTGTCTACATGTTTCACAAGGACCTCGGTGACAACGCTGTGAACATCTATGTATTCCACATTCAAGTACTTTGTCACAACTGTCTCCACAAGTTGGTACATCTTCTGTACAAGGCAAAGAAAATTCTAAAATCAAACAAAAAGTTAATGTTAATAATAAAATACATTATTAATAAGCATTAACAAAGTGCCATATGCTTTAGTTTCCCTAAAGAATGATAACCCTTTCAGACTATGAACTTTTACATTCACATAATTACTGGAAAAAACTAACTTTAATAAAAAAAAAAAACCTAATATTTGTAGTTTATGCTTTTTAAAAATAAATTTTACACATGACAAGTTCCTATCCTCAAGAAACACATTTTTATGGGCTAACAATTTCAGAAAGTTATTTAAAGAAATGAAATGTAAACATCTATGAGGAATTTCCATAATGTACAGAATTATTTTAATTTGCTCTTAACCTCATAGGACAAAAAAAAGTAGACTTTAATACATTACAAAACTCACCTTTAACATAAACATATTATGACCAGTGTTAGAAATAGTCTTATAAATATATATGGTGTTACTGGTGTAGTCAAGGAAGCCAAATGCAATCCTACTATGCCTTTATCTCAAAGCAGCCAAAAATAAATTTACCTATAACTTAATACATAATCATGACAACAGCACAGCCTCCCCTATTATCAACAGCCCCCACCAGAGCAGTACATTGGTTACAACTGGTGAACTTAAATACATCACAATCACCCAATGATCATAGTTTATATTAGGGTTCATTCTTGGTGTTATACGTTTTCTGGGTTTGGACAAATATATAATGACATGTATCTTCCATTATAGTATCATATAGAGTAGTTTCACTGCGATAAAAATCCTATGTGATTGGCCTATTCATCACTCCTTCTCCCCAAGCCCTGGCGACCACCTGATCTTTTTACTGTCTCCACAGTTCTGACTTATCCAGAATGTCATATAACTGAAATCCTATAGTACATAGCCTTTTCAGATTGGCTTTTCATTTAGCAATATGCATTTTAAGTTTCCTCTATGTCTTTTCATGTCTTGATAGCTCATTTCCTTAATAATTCCTTGAACTTGTTAAGTGAACAGATATGATGTTGATGGGGAGGGGAGGTGGGGAGAGGGAGGAGGGAAAAAGAGGAATTGGTAAAGAGACATGAAAACCAACTACACTGTATACTGATAAAAATATTTTTAAAAAGGTGTTCGGAGACAAATAAAAGAACATTTAGAAATTGAAAATATGATAGCAGATATATAAAAATTCAATAGAAGAAAAAGAAGTTAAGGCTGAAGATGTACCTTACAAAACAGAACAAAATGACAAATAGGAAAATAGAAGAGAAAGTTGGAAAAATAAAAAAACCAAACCTTTAAGGTCTAAAGTCTAATAGGGTTTCCAAAAGAAGAGAAAAGAAGAAATGGTACGAAGAAAGTCACTAACAAAACAAATAAGAAAAATTAAATGACACCAGCTTCCAGATGAAGAAGGCCTAGCACAATGGACAAAAATGCTATAACAGAAGAGAAAGAGATACAGAGATAGAGATAGAGATAGAGATGATAGAGAGAGAGTGCGCGTGAGCACATGCACGAGAGAGCCCACACAAGAGAGAGAGGAAGGAGGCGGGAACAGGAGGGGAGAGGAAGGAAGGAGAGAGGAGAAAGCAAAACCCATAATAACATACAAAAAAAATGTCTTACTTGATTTCTGACATGGACAGAACCTTTTCCCAGATCGAGGACATTCTCCACAAGAACCAACATGGCAAACTTGTTCACATGTATGATTACCACATGGCAGTGTTTTTCCACATACCTAAAATAAAATGCAATAAGCACTAGTAAAGGATTTAAAAGTTAGCAAAAAAGACTTTGTACAAGGCATAATCCATTTTTCAATCACAACTTCTTTATGTTCCCTCATACAGTTTATATATGTTTATATCTTACATAGGTGTCATATATGTATACACACACATGTATACATATATATGTATACACACATATATCTCCTATGCAAATAGTATATTTTAAAAATATAATACAGGAAAAAAAGTACATATAGTTTCATATGGCCATCCACCAAAGACTGCGACACAGTACTAAAATCATGCCAATTCTAGAACAAGCAACTACAAAATCAATCCTACTTTCTCAATTAGATTAACTCAAGAAGGGGGAGGGGTGTTGACTGAAGAGAGGGTAAAGACAGGAAGGGAGAGGCAGCTAGCAAGATTCAGTTACTTTGAAAAAATTTTTCCTCCAATAATTAAAATATTAAATTGAAATGTAGTTTCCTAATACATGACATAATAATTCATCTGAGTTGCTATTCTTCCTCACCCTTTATCCAATTAAACTTAATTAGCACTTCTGCCTTCTAGTTTTTTACTGTTTCCATATTCTTTAATACCCACCCCTCAAAATGCATATACATACTTGATCACAGTGCCACAGTGGACTTGCACAACTTCTTTCAGCTACTTTTTTGCCACAAACACACTTTTGTCTGCTAACTCTTGGACAGGGCTGACAACTTCCTAAAACCAGAATAATAAATTAGCACATAAACATTATAGAAGCAAGACAGATTGCTCTGACTTTTGCTTAAAATCAGAATACTTAATGGGTATGGTTTTTACCTGCATGACAAGGATTTCCGCACTTATGTTGTCCACAAAGCAACTTCCGCCCACATGTCAACTGACAGGACCATTCCTTGGCACTGCACCTACGAGGAATAGGTTTTGCTTTCTTACAGTAACAAGTAGTAGTGACCATCTTTGGACAAGGAGGGCAGGGACCTAGGATCCAATGAAAGGGGAAAAATCAGAAGTCAGAAATCAAAACTTTCAATTCCTACGCCTATCAGTAATTTCTAGAGCTTCCTTTACTGATACTTTAAAATGCAATCCCTTTCAATATTTGAATGTTTAAGTTCAACAGCAAACTTAAGTTCTAAATTAAACTTTCACAATTTTTTTTGCCTCAACATAAAAAGAAATAACCACCCACAAATGATTAATAATGTAATATATAACTCACCGGGATGACAGAGGAGTAAACACTTATGGCCACAAGAAGGTTTAAATTCTCTCTCACATACTTGGCCACACGAATGAGGCACAAGCCACGGATCTAAAGGTGGATCTTCTACTTTTCCACAGTAGCAATAGTACCTACTAGGTGTTTCAGATCGTTTATATTCAAACCTACATTTTGGACTACAAAGAAGAATGACACTATTAAAGTTAATTTCATCTTCAAAAGCAACATGAGACAGGAATATATTTAGTAACAGCATATACTCTGTTCAATCAGTTTTATGTTGAGGAACTCTCTGCTCCATCTTCATATTAATAAAAACCAAGATCTTACTAAAATCTATTTCAACCATCTAGAACAGCTCTGTACAATATAATTTCCTGAGATGACAGATCTGTTTGATACCTGCACTTTCCAATACACTAGCCATTAGCCACATACAGCTAGTGAGCACTTGAAATGTGGCTAATGTTCACCACTGAGGAAGGAACAGAATTTTCTATTTTATAATTTTTTTAAAATTTAAGTAGCCACATGTGACTAATTGCTATGTATTAAACAGCACATATCTAGAATACAGCCACAAAAGGAAAGCACCATTAGCTTGCTACTAACCACTTGAACTTTATTCTTGAGGTACTAATGCTGATTTTTATAAAGCTGGATTTTTTTTTAAAGCTTGGTTATGCGGTTTGCTTGTATATTAGCAACAGCAAACAGAAAAGGGAAATTGGGTTATAGGTGGGCAACACAGCAGCAAGAAACATGACTAAAATTTAGAATTAAGGAGGAAAAAACCTGAAACAAAGAATTTCACAGTTCTCAACATCTAATACAAAACAGATATATTTCAAATGTGCCCACATCAAAGAAAAGTTCAAATATTGTTTCATATTTTCTGCTAAAGCAGATAGATTTTTAACCTACCACATTAAAATAAGGAAATGCTGGTACTAGAAATATTAACCTTCAGCTATCAAAAATTCATTTGTAGATAATCATAGATAACTTCATTCTCAAAAGATGCTCAAACCCTACTATCTAAACAAATGAGTACAGTTAATATTCTATACTAGCACAACAGTTTCACATCACTTAAATTTTTTTTGTATCAGATACAATATATTTCCATTGTCATGAGAATATGTCCTGTTTCCAAATAAACGCCACACAAATATTCAAAATAAGCAAAAGATATCTGTTCCTGTAATTAAAAATTTAAAAAATACTATGTCTCATCTGGAATAAATAATTGGCATTTTTGTTAGAAGAGTTAAATTTTCAGGCCGGCCCCGTGGCACACTCGAGAGAGAGTGGCACTAGGAGCGCAGCAGCGCTCCCGCCGCAGGTTCAGATCCTATATAGGGGTGGCCGGTGCGCTCACTGGCTGAGCGCGGTATGGGCAACACCAAGCCAGGGGTTGCGATCCCCTTACCGGTCACCAAAAGGACAAAAAAAAGAAGAGTTAAATTTTCCTTTACTAAAGGAAAATCCTTTAAACTAGTGTGGAGAGAGATGAGTACTTTTAATAAACTTAGATATGGATGGCTAATAGGCAACTCACCACACCTTAACACTGCCCATAATCACAGAGACTGAGCGGTTGCATTGAGACCAATACGTGCAAATGTATGAGTTTTATTTAAAATAACAGAATGCCAACACTGAAATGTAATTATGCTTTATATTCTTCATAAACAAGCAATATCTTAGTAAAAACATCTATTTTAAATTTTTTATTTCCATAAAATAACTAATTTAAAATCATTAACATTTGTTACCAAGTTCTAGCTCTATCCTGACAATGATTAAACAAAATGGGTTCTCAACCAGAATAGCCTTTTTGTGAAATGCAAAGGATACTGCACAGTTGATTAAATTTTTGTTCCTTTTAGATTTAGAAGAGTAACAGTTTATTATTCTCTTAACTGGTACTTTCCTCTCCTATAGCAAAATGACTACTTAAAATAGAAGTGAGAAGAGCAAGGGTGAGAAAAAGCATATATGATTTTCAAATCTCTTTAACAAATCAGAATATCTGGTTTAATTCTGTACTTATTAAACACTAAAATCCCTCTAACACAAATAAATACTAAACAGTAGCAAATTGAAAACAGTTGAAATTTTAAACTGTTTCAGAGAACCATGCACTCAATGAAGAGAAAATAAATAATATCTCTAAAAGCAATATCATAAAACAGAACTCAGTTGGAAGAATACAAAAAGCACTGAATTTAGAAGTCAGAAATCCTAGGTTTCAAATCCCGGGTCTACCACTTAAGAGTAAGAGGAGCCTGAACACATCATTCCCTTTAACTAACCTCAATATCTCCATTGCTAACAGAAGAATAAAATCTCTCACACATCACTGAAAATCATGTTTACAAAGTAACTAGCATGTCTAAAATGTTTTTAAAAACTACACTATCACAATTTTACAAATGTATTAGTATTTATGGAAGTAGGGAGGTCTGACATGGATCCAGGTTTTGTCAGGCCTGAATCAACTTGGGGGCCTCTGTTAGATAAAGAACACAAAATTATAAATATAAAATTAGTTACAAAAGTCACAAAATGTGAACGTACAGAGCCCCTAAAGCTTATGCTTTGTTACCTTGACAGGAAATTTATCCCTCTGGGCTGCTAGTATGGATAAATTTTTTATTTTCTATATTTAGCAGAGATATAAAATTTCTACTCCCCAACACTTTTTGGAAATGTAACAGAAGTTCAGGATCAAATAATCATCAATAATACGCAAAACTAGGGCCGGCCCATGGTTCTCACACTTGGGAGAGTGTGGTGCTGATAACATCAAGGCTACGGGTTTGAATCCCTATATAGGGATGGCTGGTTGGCTCAATTGAGAGAGCGTGGTGCTGACGACACCAAGTCAAGGGTTAAGATCCCCTTACCGGTCATCTTTTGAAAAAAAAAATAATATGCAAAACTAATAAAATAAACGTAGAAAAATTAATGACATTAGATAACATATACCTGCAGTTTTGAGATTTCAAGGATAAAACTGGGAAGCCTATGATCAAAATGTTAGAAAACAGTTTTGGACAATGTGATACTAATGTATACTAACAGGAATTCCAGAAAAGAAGTACTAGAACTATGAACGAGTCTCAGTCCTAAAGAAAAGAAATGAAAATCCCTTAAAAGGATAAATAAGGAGTTGTTTTGCAAGGGAAAAAATAAAGTCTGAATGATGTATTAGTTACTGAAAAGAACCAGCGGTCATACAAATTGGGAAAAAAAAAAAAAAAAAGCTATTACCAAGGTCCGATATCCTTATAAACTGAAGGTCAAACATGGATAATGAAACCAAAAGAAAAGTAACTTATGATCTACAAGTTTCATTTATTCTACAACTTAATAATCCAACTAAATAGAAAACATTACCAAGGCCAGGGATAATCTCTCTTTCCAAAATCATCATCCGTCAGAGAAGATATAAGAAATTGGCTGTCTTTAGCCCATTTCTGGATACAGGGCATGTGAAATATACAGAAACATCCTGAACAGCTCCAAACCTAAGACAAAGGTCAGAAATAAACATGTATGCAATGATTTTTTCTTTGTTAATCCATAATACTTTAAAATGAGCATCACATTAAACTATTTTTAAGAGCCAACTAAGGATTAAAGGAAAAAATCTTTCCTTCCAGAATAATAGAAGAAATGCTCTTTCAAATATGTTATAAAAATGTATTTAAGTGTAGAAGACTTCAAGGAAAAATATTATTAAAAAACCAGATTAATTCAGCTAGAAATAACTACTGCTAACATTCTGGACATCTCCAATTTCTTTTTATATATTTTTCATACTTTTTAAAAATGAGGTCCTACTGTACTGACAGACATATAACTTTATAGTCTTTTTTTTTTTTTTTCCTTTTTGTCTTTTTTCGTGTCCGGCAACGGATTGCAACCCTCAGTGTAGCGCCCGTACCAGACCGGGACCGGCAACGGGATCGCAACCCTCGGTGCTGCGCCCGCACCTCGCTCAGCCAGTGAGCGGGAACCGGTCTGTATGTGGGATCCGAACCCTTGACGGGAGCACCGCCGCGCTCCCAAGTGGCGCACTGTAGCAGTGCGCCACCTGGCCGGCCCTATAGTCTTTTTTTAAACATAGTATAAGCATTTACCCTTATCAAATTTGTTCATACAACGTATTTTAACTGTATGATATATCACGTAGATTTATGTACCATAATTTATTTAACCAATTTCTCATTGTTGGACATTAATATTAATCCCATTATAAATAACACTACAAAGGAATCCTTAAGCACAAATATGTACATATATCTTCATCTAGCCCTTTTGTTATATAAAATCTGTTAGTCTAGCACTTAGTACAAATTTCTAAAAATTAAGTGAACAAAAATTGAGAATACATACAATATAAAAGTTTAAGGAATAACATTAAATTAATTTTTAAAACCTGCCAACATTTTGATATAACTAACAAAAGTCAGTTCTCCTCTCCTTATAACATTTTCAACTGTTTGATAAAATCAGACATGTAGCATACTGCATAAGCTGGTAACAGCATTGAAAAAAACAAAAACAAAAACCACCTCTTAGTTTGGGTTCCGCCAAAGCAGTGCTGAGATAAGAACTTGGCTGCAGGAGTGAGGGGAAAAGATGAGGAAGTAGAAATGCTAATAAATGGTATATAGTTGAGCTGATTACCACTAGGGGCCACAGAAGTTCAATCCTGCAGGGGACCCTCTGAAAAACTATGTAAAACACACCTTGGACATAACAGAGAGGAGGCCGGGTAATTTATTCACCAATTCCCTGTGGTGGCATGTTGCCCCAAGGGGCCTTAACTCTCCAGTGCTTCTCCACTATACCTGTGTACTGGCTGAGTCAGTTCCCAAGGAGAAAATCTTAAGGCGGTAGGAGAGAGGGAGCCCTACACAGCAAGTGTTTACAATGGGACTGTACCCACATACAGAGAGATGATTCATCCATTGCAGTTGAAATCAAAGTAGGCCAACCAGATGTGACTCTGGGCACCAAAGACATCTGCTACACTATCCTACCCAACCTGAGCATGTTAAATTTCTGATCACTCTACATGACCAACCCACCTCATCTAGCCTGATTTTCTTTCTCTAGGCAATGTTGCTATAATAGCAATAGATTAATGGATTAATTGATTAATTTAATGGATTAAAATTGACTCTAACATATTCAGTCATCATCACTTCTTCTTAATTGCTTCATTAATGCCCCGTTAAATTTACACATTGAGAACTTCACCTTTAGGTCATAGCTCCTCTAAGGACATGAGTTATGTCTGAATCCCTCTCTCTCTCCAATGACCCTTGCCACTCCGCACATTGCCCTTCAACACAGGAGACACTGACTAATAAAGCTTAAGAGTCACTGCCAAGTTATACTTCCTTGAAGGGAGGAACCATATCTATCTTTTTTCCAAACCCAATGAAAGTAATGAAATATAGTACATTTGAAGATTTCATATATGTTGTAATCTAAAATACAGATGCTAAAAATGATTTGTTAAGTCAGCATATACATTAAAACTGAAGATATTTGCTAATAATAGAGATAATTTTTTAAAAATTACAGATTTATAAAATGAAGATAAAATCAAATACAAAATTCTCAAATGAAGCATTTTTAAACAAAAATAAGCAAAAGAATAATAAATAGTTAGGCATTATAAATAAGATATTTGGGGGAGATACATTAATACAGATAAGGAGAAAAACTTACTGCTTGGTTTCTCTTCACTGAAGCAATACAAATTAAGCATGTCATAGCCCCTGCTTGAAAAGCTTCATTTACATACTGTTTTGTTCGCTCTAATTCACGTATATCACCATCTTGAAATTTAAAAATTGAAAATCTTGTGTTAAGCAGTATCTGAAAATAACACAAACTTGCTGACAGCACCACATTATATAAGAACTGACTAGCAATATCAGTTGTTCAAAATATAGCTGAAAAACAAAGCTTTTTTTTTAAAAAAAAAGTAACCAATGAGCTGTCAAGAGGTCACAAAGTTCACGTATTAAATCTTCCGTACTTAGTTCAAAAACAGTACCTTACCTCTCTCTCAGCACTCTCAGCATATACCTGCTTTTTTTGCTGTTACAGTCCTTAACAAATTTGGTGGCAGCAGAGCCATAAGCAAGAGCAGCAAGATGTAAACTAATAAGGGAAACCATACCAAAAGAACTGTGAAAGGAACTGTAAAGTCAAAACTAAGTAGAACCGTGTAGCATAAACATAAGCTCGGATGTGTGAGGGTGTGCCTTTCTAGCACATAGCATATTCTTAATAAAAACTTGTTGAATAAGAAGACTCTGAGGTCATTACAGTACAATAACCACGCTTCATTAAATCATGTTCACTATTTCTGCTTAAAAAGGTAGCATAAACATTTTAGAACAAAATTATCAGACTAGATTTTCTTTAAGCAATTGAGTACTTATTTGCTAGGCACTGTACTATTAGTATTTCAGTAGGATTAACTATTAATGAACTACTAATGAACTAGTTTGTTAACTAATTAATAGAGAACTATTATTATCTTCATTTTGCAGATGAGAAAACTGAGAACAATTAAGTAACTTCAGTTTGACTACAAAGTAAGGCCTCTTAATCCCTATGGTATGCTACAGTAAGGGATTACTGCAGGAAGGTACAAGAAATGACAGGTAACACAAAAATGAAAAACAGTACAAGTACCCCATCATACAAACAACTCCAAAAGGGCAGTAATCTGAGTCATATTAGTATAAGAAAAATAAGCCTACGTGCCTTTAGTACAATAAAGATTACTCAACAGAGGTTTACTGAGTCTCCAAGAAAAGTAGATTAACAACATAAACTACAATAAGTATAGACTTTACCATGGCAATAACATCATTCAACCCAAAATTTAAGTTGCCAAAAACTAAAAGTAAATAAGACAATTGAATAATTCTTTACTTTCAAAAATCATCTAAGTAAACACAACACTTACAAAATCTTACCCTATCAAAATGTAAACATAAATGTAATTTAGGATATTAAAAAAATACATCTAAAAGCACTCTCAAAACTATAAAATATTATAAAATTATTAAAGACAATTGCTTTTAGATAAACACTGAAGTTTTTAAAACATCCTTAAGAGCAGAATTAATAATCATATTCTGTGTGCTTATTTACTTCTCAACACAGCTGGCTTTAACAAACATATAACACTTAAATTTCATCTAATTTAAAAGCTAATTCATATAAAATTTAAGAACAATGGGCTGGCCAGTCAGCTCAATTGATTAGAGAATGATGCTGATAACACCAAGGTCCAGGGTTCCATCCCTGTACTGGTAAACTGCCAAAGAAAAAAAAAATTAAGAATAAGACAGAATAGGCTTTTACAAAATAAAATCTATTTATAAAATGTCTGTTAAGATTTGAAACATGTATTAGAGTTTGGCTTCAGCAATAAAGTGTACTGCCCAGCATGTCACAGTGAATAGCATGGCATTTGCAGGCATACATTTTAAAAAGATCACTCTGGCAACTGATGAAAAATGAGGATGAGGAAGTCAAGACTGAAAGCAGAAAGTACCAACTAAGAAGCACTAAAGCAGATAAAGCAACGAACAACCTTGAGCAGGTTACTTCATATATCTGTTTGCTTATCTGCAAAACAGCAATGAAGTTATCTACCTCACAGTTATTACATGGGTTTAATCCACATACTAAACAGCTGTAAAGGCCTGAACTAGGCAATGATAGTATGTACAGAGAGGAAGGGTAAATTTAAGAAATTTAGGAAGTAAATCAGAGGAGGACTTGGTTACAATTAGACTGTCACTTTTAAAAGCTGATGTTCGCGTCAGGATTCAGAAGGAAAGATTGCTGTGTTTGATGAGCTGACATGGGTAGAGGGGAGAGTAGTAGTCAATGACAACACTCATGCCATGCATGTGCCATCCCTGTTCCCAAATTTCCAGCTTGGAAGGGAAACTGGGAAAACTGTATTGCTACTGAGATAAAGAAAACAAGAGAAGAAATAAATCATCTTTCAACACAAGTTTGATGTGTCCATGGCCAGCAAGATATAAATATTCATCAGGAAGTTGGCCATGCAAGTTTAAAATGTGACAGAAATATCACAAAAGTACAAAAGCAGTGCTCACATAAAAATGAACTCCTTTGGTAAAGTCCTGGTGTTCAATTCACTAACATGAAATGGGAAGCATCTTATCACTCTGGAATTTATTGTTCTTAAATCAAGTGATCAGATTTCCTTACTTTGGTAGAGGCAAAGTACAGACCATAAAGGAATAAGAATCAAAATATTAACTGATTTGACACAAAACAGCTTAAGAATTATCTTAATACTTTAAGATTAAAAATTAATACTTTAAGGTTAAAAATTAATAAAACTTACAAATTATAAATGTTTTCTAAACAGTAGAGAGATATACTACTGAGTTACATTACTGTATTTCCTATTTAAAAATAAAATATGGGGGCTGGCCAAGTTAGCTCAATCAGTAGAGTGTCGTGCTAGTAACAAAAAGCTGAAGGGTTTAGATCCCCATACGAGCCAGCTAAAAAATAAATAAATAAAAATAAAATCTGCCTCTATCAAGATTGGTTTACATGAGGTCTTCTTGCAGCAAGATACTTCTCAAGATTACATACTATGAAGTCCTCTAAGAGCAAGAAACCCCCTAACCTTAAAATTACTTTTTGTCAAATTTTACCTGGCTGAGCTAGACTTCTAAGCCAAACTTCCTTATCTATTTCCTCAGAAGATACGATAAATTTCTTAGAAACCTAAGAAATAATCACATCAGTATACTCAGGCAACTACCTAATCACCAAGGTCATGGGGTGGCAGGGGAAGGAGCAAAATACATAAATCATTCTGCCTGAAGACCTAACTCTCATACTCTCGAATTGCCTTTATTCCACCTCATGCTCAAACTCTGCTGTGCTTCTGATTCTGCTGTACTAACAGTCCTGAATTCCAACATCACTGGCTTTATAATAACTAAGGAACACATCAGTAGGGAGGAGAAGAAGAGAGCTGATGTGGTCTTATGATGTTAGGCCGTATGATCATGGGAAAACAGGATAAAGAAGAAACAGATAATCTTTTTAAAAGACAGGAAAAAAGAGAAGAGCTATGGTAGAAAATCTCTAACAATAAAGCTCACAAAATATATTAAACATTATAGCACATACTGTATGACAGGCACTACTGTAAGCACTATAGTGCTTACACATTGTGATTCATTTTATCCTAACAACTCTAGGGTATTTTCTATCATTCTAGAGTATTTTCTATCATTACACCCATTCTACAAAAGAAGAAACAGAGACCATGAGGTGTGAAATAATATGTCAAATGTCTTATAGCCAAGTAGCAGAGCCAAAATACAAACCTTGGCAGTCTGGCTCAAGAGTCTGTATTCTTAACCACTGTATATGCTGCCTTTTCCCTATAAACAAGTACAAAAGCAGCAGTCTAACCTACCTCAGAATTTTTCTGCTTTTACACAGAAAACGCAAAAAGCCCAGTAATGGTTTAAAAGCTAAGTAAACTAGGTTTAAACCCACCTCTGCCATTTAGTAATTGTGTTAACTCTAAGAAAATCATTTCCTCTCTGTAGAGTTGTTTCCTGGAAAATTTCTAAGGTTTCTGCTAGTTCCAATAGGATACTAAAGTAAGAAAAAGAACTGAAAAAGAGTATAAATACATAGTGCTATTATAAGGGTATATAATACATATCTACAAATATATTGATAAATGTTGATATTACATACAAGAATGTTTCTAACAATTAAAGTATAAAATACAGAAAGTTTAAGAATATTCACATTTAAAATAATCTACTTTTACACTTAATACTAAGTCATGCACAGCAGCATCACTTGGCCCTCTCTCTCACAAACAAACGTGGCTTTAAGAGCAACCCAGATATACATAACAGACATTATGAATGTACATGTCAAACCTAAAAAGATTTAATTTTTTTAAAAAGTATGAAAAACAGATGTTGTGAATAAGATAAAATAAGAAATAAAGTCAAAAAATAAAATGGGAATCAAAATACATTAGACATGATGAAAAAAAGAAAAAAAATGAAGACTAGATTGAAAGGGGTATCCAAAGTCCTCTAGTCCAATCAAATCACAACAAGGAGCAACTTGCCTTGGCTCATGTCTCAGGGAGCTTTGGTAGCACCCTCCCAGCATTCTACTGAAATGCCAATTAAACACGTGGAGAACTCCTAGGGCTGTAAAAGAGCCACTGCCATTCTACTTGCTTTACAGAAAGGTTAGTGTTACACAACATGTAATTCAAATAGCAAAATGTACAAAAATTCAAGTCTATGACACAAAATGCTCAAACTACTCCATACAGAGTAAAGGTATTAACCAAAAATGTCAGGAACATACTTTCACTGATGTCAAAAAGTCAAAATTTAAAAGATCAGTACCTGTCTGAGTAGTGTATGTTATAAATGTGTTAGCAACTATTTTTCCCTGTTTGCCTTCAAAATCTTCATCTCCTTCTTCTTCAGATGAAGAGCTAAAGTGTTCTTCAACAAGTTTTTTGGCTGCAGCTTGATTAGCCTTCTTGATTTCCTCAAATTTCCTCTGAGACATTAGCTCTGTAGAAAAGGAGAAAAAAAAAAGCTTCATTTCCACAAAACAGTCTCTCACAAAGCAAAGCCTTATGTACTAATATATAAGTTTTAAACATGCATTTCAAAGTCACCTTTGGAACATTCAATCTTACTATAATCCATTAGAAAAAGTATTTTCAAATTTCTTGACACACAAAGAGAATACCACAACAAAAACTTTCACTTTTGTAAGTATCCTGCTAAATGCAGTAATTGTTACAGAAATAAAGTGAAAAATCAAGAAAAATATTATAAAGGTATGATAAAAGTATCATAAAGCTGGTGATCAACCTCAAAATAAGGACTTCAACGAAAATTAAAATGGGGTGCACCCATTGGGAGCACATAGAAATCAGGGGAGGTTGAGTGCTTCTTCAAACTACCCTCTTCTGAACTCTAACCCAGCCCACCAAAGAGTCTGCACAGACAGTATTCACTGTGCATCCACTACATTTATAATCTGCTGTTTAGAAAGCTCAAGAACTTTTTGCCTTTATTATAGACTTTTGACATTTTTGCAGTTACAAAAAAATAAATATAACAATACACAAAATGTTAACATGGAAAACATGTTTTAGGTGGTGTATTTGTACTTAATGATGTTTTATCTTTTTTTCCCCTCATGAAATGTTTTCCAGTTTCCTGTTACAGCCAGTTTGGTTGGGGCTTATCAACAAAAACTAATTATTTCAAGTAAAATTGAAAGAAAGTGTATATGTTGCTTAGCTAGGAATCTTTGAGTACTGGGGAAAAAGTAATGGCTATAAGATATATGACTCAAAACTTGTACAGTAAGATACAATAAATATCATTAACCTATGGGAAATTAGCAATTAAAGATACATAAAGAAAAAAGGATGAAGTGGACAGATATAATGAAAATGTTTATAACCTGATAAATGTATTTACTTAAGATTATCTCACGGAAGATTAAAAATAAGTTGTCAAAGCACCCTTCTCACACTATTTCTTACAGTCAAATCTCAATTATCCGGGTAGAGAATGCTCACTTTCCTTCTATTCACAAAATCCAAGAAAGTTTACCGAAACTGTTGTTCATAGTTCTCCAAATTGTATACTTCACCATCACCACCATCATAAACTCAGTAACTGCAAGCTAACAGGATACCACTTAAATTTAAAACCAGACTAGGAGAAAAAACACTCATAAGCTCAATTTTGTTCTCACGCTCCACTAAAACAGTCTTGGATGAAGAATACTGATATATCCGAAGAGGCAATACCAGATACGTCCGTGAACGGCTATGAAATCTGTGAATTGGAACCACAGTGAAGAAAGGCATCACAAGCTCAAGTGCTTACAGGGCACTGACAAGTAAAGTCAATAAACGAATGCAATCTGGTAAAGACGGCAAATGACAACTGGCCCCAGAAATAGGAGACACAATCTGAGATGGACTGCCCAAGCCCAATTTAAATGAGATTTCTGTGACTTAGCTCAGCTAACTGTTGCCATGCACAAAAATACTAAAGCCACAAGATCTTATTTTACAAAAAGTTAACCAGATTTTTACGAGATTTTTAAATAAACAAACAAATATTGGCAACCAGTTCAGATTTAAAGCACTGCGATAATCAAACAACACTATAGACTAAACCAGACCTCGGGGCCACAATTTACAACTTACAGTCCAGGGATTCAGGTAGCAAAAAAGAGTGAAGTTTCCAGAGTACTAGACAGAGAAGGAACTAAGGTAATACCAATTAAAGTTAAAACGGAAGAGGTGTGATGGGAATCCGCCTACGATGCCGAAAAGAACAGCTGTCTAAAAGGTTTGGGAAGAACGCCCAATAATAAACTGCCGAAGGCGGGGAGGAGTGAACAGGAGCGAGCGAGGGCGGAGGCCGTCCTGACTAGGAAAGTGCCTCCGAAGGCACCAGGTGGGATCGAGAAGAGAGGCCATTCCCACCACCGGCCACGGAAGGCTGCAGTGCTTCAGTTCCCGCGGATCCCGCTGTGCCCGGTACCTGCAGCCGCACTGGTCGCGGCACCTCCCGGGCTGGGGTCAGAGTGACCGGCATCCACCGGCCCCTTCTCTCGCCCTCCTCCGGCGCCGCGGAAATGGACTCCATTTCCTGAGGAGGGTACTGCAGCGGCCCGTCCTCGGGCTCGGCCCCGGCCACCGGCCACCTGACGCCAGGAAGCTTCCATCCCTGCAGATGGGGGGAAAAAAGGAGTGGAAGGAGCGTGAGGGCGGCGGTTACCAGGGCGGACGAGAAGGGCAGAGGGGAGAGCCGGTGTGAGGGGCTGAGTGAGCAGGGCTTCTACAGGGCGGGGAGCGGGATGGAGCAGGTCGCGGCCCTGTCTCTCCCGGAGGGCGGGTCCACGCTAAGTCCGAGCTTTGGAGCTGGACCAAAGTGAGAGAAGACTAGGCAGAGAAATGGCCCGCAGGGGAAGGGGCACCCAGCGCCGGAGAGGAGAGCCGGGGAGAAGGAAAGCTCCTCCTCAGACTCAACGGGAGCACGGCAAAGGTGGGAAAGCAGCAAACTGACCCCGCGGCTCCCGCCGGGAACCAACTGCAGTAACGTGCCCCACCGCAAGCTACGTCTCCTTACGGACGGCGCCCGCCCCCAGTAACTACAACTCCCAGAAGTCCGCCTGCGGCCCGCAGATGCGTGGCAGCACCGGCCTCTTTCTTATCCGGAAGAGTCAGTGGAGCGGGCGGGGACCTCCGAGCGCATGTGCCGACCTATACTGGCCTTCGGGAACTACAACTCCCGGCGTGCTCTGGGGCTTGTAGGCGGGGACGGCCAAACGGACGCGTGGTAGGGAGGTAGGTGGGCTCGGAGCTGCTCTTGACCCCGCAATTTGCTGTTGCTTCACCCTGCTGGGTGTTAGGATTACGTCAGAGTAGCCCGAGTTGGCTCTTGGCCACGTTTAGCCCTGCCTTGGGGTTTGCAGGTGGCTCAACGATTTTCACGAACGGGAAAAGCGCTTAGAATGAGAACACTTCGAGGTTGGCCACTGTGAAGAGGAAGAGCTGAGGGAGCAGTTGCAGGAAAGTGGCTCGAATAGGGAAAGCGCCCTTCTGAGTTGCTAGAGCGATGTAGAAAGTAAATCTAAAGCCTATTATTGTCATGGTCCTTTGTAGTTTACAATTAGCTTTCCCTGGAGCGGTCTGATTTTTACCTTCACGACAGGTACCTAAAGTAGATTTTATTAACGAAAATAACTGAGAGCCAGGACCTAAGTCTTGACTTTGTTGAGTTTTCCAATAAGATATAGATAGATTTTTTAAAAATTCATTTTAGGGACTGTCTAGGATTGAGAAATGTATTGATTGCTGTTTGCGTTGTACAATCTTTATACAACCCTTCAACTTAATTAATTCCATACACTAATCATAAAGAGTATTTAGATAACATTTACTAAGTGCCAGGCACTGTTCAAAGTGTTTTACATATATGTATTGTTAAAGAAAAATGAGCTACAATAAAATTTTAAGGAGTTTGAGTAAAAAGCAATTTATGAATTTGGGGACACCAGACCAACAGAGATTCCGTGTTCAAATGACAAATATCAGAGGCAAATATTTACTGAGAAAATGCGGAAGCAAAATAAAGAAATTTGATTGGTATGCAGTTACATAATTGTTTTTGCGGGGGGGG